TGGAGAATCAATGAGAAGACAAGAATGCTTATCAAACCTCCCTGTTTTTTTATTCAAGCCCAAGATTAACATATGGGAATGAAATCCACTTGTACTCTTTTTTCTTTTTCTTTGCTTTTGTCCCAATGGATTTTGCAAAGAGAGATTTTTAATGAGGCAAGTGTATTTCATCCTTAGCCCATTTGTTGATCAGAAGACAAGTCGAAAGAGCAGCTGTCCTTTGAAGTAGTTTAAGAGTTTCTTTGTTTCATTTTCAAACCATACGCTCCTATTCTTTATTTCTTTGCTTTGTTTCGAGATAGTCTTTGGTGTTTGTATCAAAACTTATCTCTTTATATGTTGCTCTTGTACCTGTATTTTATCTTATCTATCTTTTTAATCAAAAATCTTAAGCATATATCCGGTACATCAAAAGCTTCTCCATCTCCTTTGTACGACCACTCGATCCACGGTGAATCTAAGTCCCTTATGTATTCTTAGTGTGACCAAATGTCCCATACATCTATCCCCTTTCATCATTTTTATCCCATTTATACTGTGTTTACTCATTCTTTCCATCCTCAACCAAACCATCATCATCATCATCATCATTACATGTTTAAGTGTTCTTTATGGTCAAACGGATCCATTCATTCATAAACTTTCTTTCAAAGTGTCGAGTCAGAGGGGAAAACATATTGGCATGTTTTGGATATTGTACATAATCTAAAGGATATAAATTGTATTATCCTGTAAGTGGGAAGATTGTTGAAAGCAGAAATGTTACGTTTGAGAGAAAGCTGTTTGGAGTTGGAGTGAAGGTGATAATGGTGTGCTTCTAGAAATTACCATTGATAACAATGATGGAGGTGAATCAAAGTCCAGATGGTTCTGAAACTAATACACCAACAAGCTCAGTCACTAATTCACCTAATTTCAGCAGTGGCAGTGGATCAAGCAGCAGTAAAGATGAAATTGCACTTCAAAAATTCAGATCCCTGCTAGATATTTATGAGGTTCAGCATGCACTTTTCACTTCTGATCCTGGAACTTTCAATGATTCAGAAAAAAAAAAGATAATATCCATGGAGAAGATTCACACTTGGAAGTTAGTTAAGCTTTCTGAAAGTACTTAATTGATGTAAAGTGGGTGTTTAAAACTAAATATCATGCAGATGATAATATCCAAAAAGTATAAAACAAAGATGATGGTTAAAAAATATGCCCAAAAGTATGGAGTAGATTATAAAAACCTTTCTCTCCTGATGACCGGGTTTGGCAGTGTAAGAACTCTAATTGCATTAAGAGCTAATGCATTGGTCAATATATCAGTTTGAATTCTAAAGTAATTTAGTTTTACACGTTTCATGTGTTTAGAGTTTGCCCTCTCTATTGATTAATCAAATTAGAGATTAGCTTCTCATCTTCTTCCTCTTTCTCTATATCTCGTGATGAACATAAATTTAAGGTTTATCAGATGCACTCTCATGAAAGACTTTCAATTTAATTAAATATAAATCAATATAATACATATTGATTTTAATATTATTTTATTGATGGATCTTTTAAAATATTAAGAGACTCACTTCAAAATCTCTCATTGGGAAGAATATTTCAATATTCCGAGAGACCCATTAATAAAATAAAAATAAAATTAATATATATATATATATATATATATATTGATGTCTTTACGATAGACTTCCAATGTGGATGGTTTCTGTCGTAAAAGGCTCTAACTTTCCCTGCTCTGTATGTCATAAGGTAAACTAGATGTTGGACCTACGCGTCTGCGCATGTATATGATTCTTGAAGTAAATTTATAAATGTTTAAATTTTGTAGGATAAAGAGATTTATATATTATGTTATAAGATAGTCTGTTTTCTGGTACATATGTATCATGGCTTTATTTCGAGAGAATGAATAATCCGTTTTTCAAATGTGTATAGAAAAGCTAATTGTTTTAGCTAACAGAAAAGATAATTGTCTTGCTGATAGATTAGTTAACTCTACTTTTTTCCTTCTTCTAGATGTCCAGTTTTTAGATTCGGTTCCACCTAGTTTAGTTTCGATTTTCAGTTACAATATGATCGGTTCTGCGTGCCCAATAAGAGTTTGTGTGTAGCTGGTTTTTATGTTTTGAATAAAATCAGGAGACAATGTCTCCCCCACCCCCCTCCTACCAAAAAAACTATAGTTATATTAATAATAAATTGTTTATTTATGTGCTATGAAGATTAAAATTAAATTTTGTAAATACAAAATATAAACTTAAAAATAAGATAATATAAGTTACGTGCAACTAATTCAATATAGTAGACACACGAGTTGTATAATAATATGTTATTTGTTTTATATGAAATTTATGTTTTTTAATATTGTATTTAGTTTTTTTTCTTCTCCTTCTCCCTTCCTATTCTTTCTTCTTCATTTCTATTATCTGTTTTTTTTTTTCTTTTTTTCTCCTTCTTCCCTTTTTGGATTACCATGAAGGTCTGGACCGAAGTCTGCAATCTCTGCAGACCCGAAACCACATCATGTAATATTAGTTTAATCCTAAGCGTCACTCGATCATGTGATCTCTAAGCTTTGCTTAGATCCTTTACCAGTCGAGTTAACGACTCTTTATCCCCTCTTCTTCTTCTTTTTCATTCTTTATTCTCATTCTTCTCCTTCTCCTTCGTTGTTCTTCCTCTCCCTTCTTCTTCTTATTCTTCTTCTATGTATCCATATTCTTCTTCATCCCTTCTTCTCCTTATTATCCTTCGTCTTCTTCTTCTCTTCCTCCTTCATGCCTTCTTCTTCTTCATCCATTCTCTTTCTTTTCCGTTCTCCTTTTCTGTTTTTTTCATCTTCTCTATCAGTCTTATTCGTCATCATTTCTCTTTCTTCTCATTCACTTTTCTTCTTTTTCATCTCTTCTTAATATCCTTTCTTTTCCTTCTTCTACTTTATCACGTATTCCCCTTCTTCTCATGTTCTTTTTTTTTCTTTCTCTTTCTTCTTCTCTGTTGTTATCCTTTTTCATCTACTCATTTTTTCATCCATCCCTTCTCTTTATTCTCCTCCTTCTTCTTCTCCTTCTTATTTGTTTTTTTCTTCTTTGTCAAACAAAAAATGATAAACTTAAAACTAAAAAGATTAAAAATAACAACCATATACATAGTAAACAAACTGAAACAAAATATTTAACATATAAGAAATTGATTTCGTCTAAAAAATATTGATGTTTGAAAATATTTTTTTGTTTTTGAAAATCTAAATAGGGAAAAAAATTAGCCAAAACAAATTAGAAAAAATGAGATAATACGAGTTACTGCTTTTATTTCCTTTGTAGTTTATTGAAATACTATTATCATAAATAGTTTTATTTTGTTAATTATAAATTATGAAAATAAATAGTATTTTACTGACTTTTCCTATTATTAATATGTTATTACATCTACAGAAAGTTTTTTATCAATATTGTTTGTAATATTTTTGAAATTACGCTAAAATCTATATTTTTAGAATATTTTTTTAAATTTATGCAGTTACTATTTCTTAATTACAAAATATTTTGATTTTTATTTGGGAAGCTTGCTCCATAATTTTAGTAATTGACTATTAATAAAATATTACAAAATTGATTCATTAGATATTTTATAGAACTAAATATAATTTAAATAAAATTATATGGTTTTATCATCTACTGTTAATTAATCATGGTTTTTTTAAATTTGATCATGATGCTTTTAAATTTGAAATTAATTTAATCAAAATTTAATATAATATTAGATTGAACTAAACATATAAAAAATAATATATAATTATTCATGAAAATTAGGTTTTAGTTTATTTTCCTATAAACATATGTGTTTGGCTATATTATTGCATAATAATAAGAATATCATTTTTGTTTTTCATATAATTTTTTGCGATTTTTCTTTTATATTGTGTAAATGTATATAATTTAATTATATTAATTATAATTTTTATTTTCTTATATTGTTACATAGTAATAAATATTTGAAAAATATTATTTGTTATTTTTTCGCAAATTTTTTTAAATTGTATAAATGTTTATAATTTAATCTTATACATATATAGTAATTATAATTATAATTTCGTTTATATAAACTTGGATATAATTAATTCTAAGATTATTTAGAATTTTCGAAATAACTATTTATGGAAATATTTAAATTATTTAAATGTGTTTGGCAATTAAAATTAAACTAATCCAAATAATATTTGAAAATTAATGTGTTTGGTAATAGGAATATAAGAATTAAATAAAGAAAAAATAAAATAAATATTAATTGGTTGTATTAACAAATGCATTTGGAAAATATAATGAAAATGAATATTAATAAAATGACTAAATTAACATTAATGAAATTTTAAGGAAAATATTAAAAAGCAATGATATTTCATGTAATATAACACATAAAATGTGTTTAAACATTTAAGTGTTCCTCTTTTAATAGTATGAATAGAAAACTTCTTTTTTTTCTTGTCACAAGTTTTGGAATTTGTGTCTTATCTTGTGAATCGCTCTATTATCTCAGAGAATTGAGCGGAAAGGAGGAAACTTTAAAAAATCAGAGAAAGCTCTAAAAATGGAAGCCACCGATCAAACGGTTATCTGCGAGTTGCTTGCCGTCGACCTCAGCGACTACTGCTACAGAGTCTGTTCTCCCTGCGAGAGAGTTTTTCCTGGAGATTACAACAATGGTATTTCCTCTTCTTCATCTTCTTAGTTATGCAGATTCTGCAACTCAAAAGAACCCAAATTGCTCTATCGTATCCTCGTAAAATATTAAAAAATAAAATGAATATTAATAAAATGACTAAATTAACATTAATGAAATTTTAAGGAAAATATTAAAAGTTAATAGCATTTCATGTAATATAACACATGAAATGTGTTTAAACATTTAAGTATTCCTCTTTTAATAGTATAAATAGATTCTTTTTTTTTCTTGTCACAAGTTTTGAGATTTGTGTTTTTATCTTGTGAATCGCTCTATTATCTCAGAGAATTGAGCGGCAAGGAGGAAACTTTGAAAAATCAGAGAAAGTCCTAAAAATGAAAGCCGCCGATCAAACGGTTATCTGCGAGTTGCTTGCCGTCGACCTCAGCGACTATTGCTACAGAGTCTGTTCTCACTGCGAGAGAGTGCTTCCTGGAGATTACAACAATGGTATTTCCTCTTCTTCATCTTCTTAGTTATGCAGATTCTGCAACTCAAAAGAACCCAAATTGCTCTACAGTATCCTCGTATGAACCCTTCTTCCTCTTTATGAGTTTTTTATCTTCTCTGGTGAAATGATCTAATAGCATTTTTCTAATTCGTTGTGAGTTAGGGATTTAGCCCTTTAGCAATTTGTCAACTTAGGGGATTGTTCAATGTAATGTGAAGAAGAAGTTTTTGGTGATCTATCTGTTTAAATCTGTGGAAACTGAGAAATCGAAACTTCAAATTTGTGTTTTTGTCACTTCCCCACTTTTCTGAATCTGTGTTTGGTTAATCTAACAGATGTCTATAGCAACAGATACATCGTACATCTGTTAAGACTCTGATCTGCTTTTGAATTTGTGAGCTTGTGGAATTGAGAAATCAAAACATCACATTTGTGTTTTGTATTTGTTCTTCCTCACTTTTCTGAATTAACGTGTGTGTTTAAATCTAGTAGATATCTATAGCAACAGAGACAACAGTTAAAACTGTGATATGTTTTGATAGAGCAGCGACTCTTCTCTTTGGTTGCTCAGCCGATGAGTTCTTCCACTTCACCAAGCTCAATCCTTTAACCGGTTAAAAAGAAAACCATCAAATCACTTTTTACTAAAAGTTCACTCTGTTACATTATTAAAGTTATTTGAGATCGTGTTTCCATTGCCAGCAACTATGGTTAATCAGGTCTTTGATGGAGAGATGCTTAGCTTAGGATGACGTTGACTCGGCCTCACAACCTAAACGGACAACACATGAGAGTTGCTTCAGTTGTTCCTCTACGATCAGGATTTCAACCAGCAATAATAACACTGAGACAGCTTTGAACCACAAGGAACATTGCTTCTTTTGGACATCACAGTTTCTAATCTTGGATTGATTCCATTGCTACAATCATAGGGTTTTTTTTCCTTCCTAAAACTTCATTGTGTCGGTAAAATTCTCTAATTCGTTTGTTAAGTTGTTTGTCGGTTCTAAATTGTATTGATGGAATTAAGGTTCAAATGGGTTTTCCTAAAACTATTTAACAATAAATGTGAAAACTGATTACAAATCCTACCTTAGCTCAGTTGGTAGAGTCGACTAATTCCTTAGAAATAAAGGAAATGCTTTGTTACGAGCTAGCAATCTTCCAATATTTGATAATGAATGTGGAAACTAATATCAAATCCGACCTTAGCTCAGTTGGTAGAGCGGAGGACTGTAATAGTCTTTATAACAGCAAATCATTAGGTCACTGGTAGGTCGGAAATACCTTTTTAGCAAATAATTAGGTCACTGGTAGGTCGGAAATACCTTTTTAAATGAAAACTTAATATTTGCTTTCTTGATTTCTAACATAAATTGAATGATCCTGTTTGTTTTCCAGTCAAAATATGTTAGTTTTTGTAAAAGGATATAGGTTTCTGAGCGTGAAGTTCTTTCTTTGAGTATGTGCCATCTTCTTGCTAGATGTAGGAGCTTCTTTACATGTACGGACTAGTGATAGGGAACAATTCAATATGATTATCCCTTTCTTTAGGGTAAATATATTTGCTTCCTCTTTCAAAGTTTCATACTTTTTAAACAGTGATGCTATATAATGAGTGTTGACGATGTTTCAAGATCAAGAAGATCCTCCTCAGTTTTGTTTCACATCTGTTGTTAGAAATAACTTTGGATTTATTTTCAGTCAAGACGGTTTATCTCTCTGAAAATACATTTTACTTTGTTTTAATATGCAACTGAACTATTGAACTATGAAAATCCCATTGCAGAAAGCTAAACGATCCGGTGTCTCCTGGATCATTGGTTTTCACCATAAACCACATCAAAGGTCAGAGAAAGCAAATAGATGAGAACGAAACAGTTGGATCCTGTAATTTCAGTTTTGGTCTGGAAAACGTAAGTTGCCTTCATATATGAACAAACTAGTTTTGCCTGAAGACTTCGTGTCTGGCTTGACGAGTGAGGACCATCAGCTACGCTTGAAGATGTATGATCTGGCTCATCATTTTTCTTCTTTTATTTTTAATAATAAATGTGAAAACTTCATATCAAATCTGACCTTAGCTCAGTTGGTAGAGCGGACTGTATTAGTCAACCTAACAGCAAATCTTTAGATTACTGGTTTAAATCCTGTAGGTTGAAATCTTTTTTTTTTGCAAATTTAAATAAAATACTAAATTATAAAATGAATAACTTAATTGGCCCTTTAACCAAAAAAAAAAAATCTAATTCTATTAAGGAAATACGTTGTGATTACTTTGATATCAGGTGTCATTTCACCCGACCCCGATTGTACATTTTGTATTTTGTTTTTCAACTCTTTGCCTATGATGGCTTGTTGGTTTCTTTATCTGGACACAACATTTAGATACAATGTTTAGACACAGCATCCAAATGTTATTTTTATGTTTTTGATTAATGTATTTAAATGTTGTATCTGAATACATTTATGTTCGTTTATATATATGTATTTACATCTGGATGCACTTAACAATAAAAAAGATTAAAAAACGTATTTTACTGTTTTGCAGGAAAACAAATTTTTAATAATTTTTTTTTTAAAAAATAATCTTCAAAAATTTATGGTTTTAGTAGAAAATTGAATTTTACAGTTTTAGCGGAAAAATAGAATTTTACAGCTTTGGCGGGAAAACGGAATTGTATGGTTTTACGGTTTTGAGAAAAACAGAATTTTATGATTTTCTCGTGATTTTACGGTTTTGGCGAGAAAACATAATTTTACGGTTTTGGCGGGAAAACATAATTTTATGGGTTTGGTGGGAAAACAGAATTTTATAGTTTTCTTGTGATTTTATGGTTTTGGCGAAAAAACGAAATTTTACGATTTTCTCGTGATTTACAGTTTTGGCAAAAAACATAATTTTATGGTTTTTTCATGATTTTACATTTTAAGAGGGAAATCGTAATTTTTGTGATTGGTAAACTTTATGGAATTGCGGAATGGCAGAAAAAGGTGATTCCGCAAAAATTTTGCCAATCAGAAAAACTTGCGGAAAAACACAAAAACTCGAATTCTGCGGAATGGCAGAAATACTTACAAAAAATATAAAGAAAATTTGATTAAGTGGAAAACTGTGTTTCAAGTAGCTTATTTACGGAATCAATATTTTATATCATTCAATTATATAATTAATTATATTTTATTATTTAAATAAATATATTTTAACTGCATATATTTATATAATGATCAGATTATATCTGTAGATTAAATTTTGCAATATATTTATATATTTAATAGTAAATAAAAATAAAAATAAAAATAAAAATAAAAATAAATAATTTCAATAAAAGTTTTGATTTTTTTCTAGTTATATTGAAATTATGTTTTTATAATAATTAGTATTTTAATTTTTATTATATCAAATTATATATAAAATATATTATTATGAAAAATTAATTTTTTTTTTTTTTTTTTTTGTCATTCCACCATTCTGCCATTCCGCATAGTATATCCAATCATATCAAAAGTAATTATTTCGTTATTCTGCATTCCGCAGTTTAATTTTTTTTCGCCATTCCACGGGTTTATTATGTTACCAATTGGAGCCTTTTATAGTTTTGGCGGGTAGCTCGGTAGCTCGTCACCGGATGATTGTTGTCTTTTCTCTCGCAGAGACATCTGCAATCAAAAATCAATTCCAAAATCAGAAATTTCGAAAAATTAATGATTCAAGGTGAAATAATCACAAGCATTCGTTTTCAACACTACCAAAAGCACAATTCAATCTTAAATCCAATCTAAAACTCCACCAAAATTCAGATTTTTGCAAGTAAAATCACTAATCCGAAATTTTTAATAACATGCAATTTTGCCATTAAAATCACTTGGGGTCAGTTTAATTTTTCTAATAGAACCTAAGTAAACATGATTCCATAAACAAATCTAGCTAAAAGTCAAAATTTTGAGCTTTAGCAAATCTCATGGCCGATTGAAAATTGAAAATTTTGGAACACATACCTTGCAGATCGAGAAATTGAATGATGAATAATGAATAACACTAATATCCGCTTAAGTTAGGTTTTGGAATCATTCAAATCCGTTAACAGGATCGGAATTTAGGATTTGAGGGTTTCGGGGTTTGTTTTGTCTTGAGAAACCAAGTGAGGAGGAAAAAAGAAGTCGAGGGATTAAAAGCACTTACCTGGTCGGGACGGGTGACGATCGTCAATCATAAGTGGTAACGATCGTCACTGGCAGTGACGACTAAGGTTGTTACCACTTCGCATCGAATTTTTTTTTTGTAGCTGAATAAAAAAACGAAAATAAATATATGTACATGAATTAGATAACTTAACAGTGAGTTGCCTCTCACCAAGCGCTTGTTTTCAGTCATTAGCTTGACTTGGAATATCGATCAGATAGTGGGTGCATTATTCAGAGACACAATGTGTCTTGCTGGAATTTCGGCTAGTGCCAATAATTATTTACCCTCTGTCTTTTCATAGTGAACTCTTCTCCTTTGGAATTTATCAGGTTAACAGCTCCAAATGGTCGCACTTCTTTGTTGGTGAAGGGACCTGACCAGCGGAACGCAATTTACCAGGAAACAACTACAAAAGAGATTTATATAAGAGTACCTGGTCATTGGGTTTAAAATGTCTGGAGATGATCTTCTTATTATGATATGCCTTAGTTCTCTCCTTATATAACTTGGAGTTTTCATTGGCCAGATATCTGATTTCATCCAGTTCATTCAGCTGTATCAGATGCTTTTTTGCAGTAGACTTTAGGTCAATATATAAGGGATATTCGGAATTATTCTGATTAGAACTGTTATAAATTCTTGGTTACATGATACTTACTTATATCCTTATTATAGCTAAGCATCTTCGTTTCCAACAACTTACGGAGCTAAGAGCAGAGTCAGAGTGTTTATATAACTCTCAGAGGATCTTATTATAAACTCTTTAGAAGACAGTGAACAAAGTGTAGGCGAGACCACGACACATAAAGGATGTTGGTCGTTTGTTGACATAAACTGATCCCTTGAACCAATGAGAATCATCTTGAATCCAATATAAAAAAGAAAACTGTATACTTTAGAAGGAGCGAGCACATATAACATATATAATTTGAAGCTACTATATAAAAGATGGTAAACTCTGAGCTAAAGTTCCCGTAATTCCTAAGCAGTTAGAGATAACTACTATCTTAAACTCGGGCATTGCTCTTTCTATGCAGAGACGGGAACGATCTGAATAGTGAATGGTACAGTCCGAGAAACCGTAAGAAACTTCTCACAAACTTTATGATCTTTTATTTGTTATAAATTATCCACAGCACTTTTATGAACGTGATTCAGAACTATAATTTTTATTTTAGAAGTAAAGAAAAAAAATTTCTAGAATAACCACATTTTAATTATATAATACTAATTGTGGAAACTTATATCAAATCCGACTTTAGCTCAGTTGGTAGAACGGAAGACTCTAATAGGTTTCCTAATAGCAAATTCTTAGGTCATTTGTTCGAATCCGGTAGGTCTAAAACTCTTTTTTAAGGATAACTAAATTTCCTCTTTTTTTTTTGAAAAAAACCAGTAAGAGAAGAAAATATGTTTCTTTAAAACTAGCACTTTTCCAATACTTAATAATAAATGTGAAAATTTATATCAAATTTGACCTTAGCTCAGTTGGTAGAGTGAAGGACTGTAATAGTTATTAGCAAATCCTTAGGTCACTGGTTGGAATCCTTTTTCTAAGATCTAGTTCTTTTTTGAGTGATATGTCAGCATCTTCTTTTTGTATGTAGAAGTTTATTTACATGTATGGGTTTATTTGTGTTAGAGAACAATCAAGATGATTTATCTCATGGTAATATTTGCTTCCTCTTTCAAAGTTTCATACTTTTCAACCAATGATAATTTATTATGAGTCTTAGGATGTTTTAAGATCAAGAAAATTCTCTTCAGTTTTGTTTTGGGTTAATTCTGAAAATCTTTTTGCAGATAGTTGGTTTTCACCATAAAACACATCAAAGGTCAAAGAAAGCGATGAGAAGGAAAACGTCGAATCCTGTCATATCACTTTTGGTCTGGAAAGCGTAAGTTGCCTTCATATATAAACAAACTTGTTGTCCCAAAAGATTTCTTGACTGGCTTGAGGACCGTTAACATGCAAGAAGATGATAATCACAAGGTTTCAGCTACGCTTGAAGATGATTAATCCTCCTTTTTTCTTCTTTTATTCTTTTCTTCAGAGGTTAAATCTACATCTATTTCTTAGGAGCGACCACTTTTTCAATACTTAATAATAAATGTGAAAACGTAGTATCAAATCTGATCTTTTGGTGGAGCGCCAGATGACTATAATAGGTTTTCTAACAAAAAATTCTTAGATCATTATTAGAGCTGGATTTAACACTTTAAATCCGGCTCACTCTAGCCCAACAAGCAGATTCAAACTAAATCAAATTGACTGGGCTTTGAACCTACGGTCCAGACCCATTCTCTCTCAACGATCCAATCATGAACAATTAAACTTTTCGATCGACGAGGTCGAGCTCTAGCTCGGCCAAATCCCGAGAAAAAGATAGGATCCAAGCCAAGTCAGAGCATATTCTCGCCAGTTCAAACGAGTCCGAATATCACGGAGGAAGCTGCTGCACGTGGCAAGATTTCCGGCTGAAGCTGCTGCACGTGGCGAGCTTTCCGGCTGAAGCTGCTGCACGTGGCCGAGATACGCGCTGGAGGTTGAAGCTCGACAAGGCGAGCTATATAAAGGACACAAACGGCTTAGTTTGGGGCATCTGAAGCTAGTTCATTTTCTACACTTTTTACACACAAAAACTCTGTAATTGCTCTCAGAGCTCTTTTTATTTCATCTCTTTCAGAGAAATCCTTGTAACCGTTTCATTCAACCGATTAATATCAAGTCCTTATATCAGTTAGTGCTAGCTTATACTGTCAATCTGTTCGAGAGAATCAGCCCTTAATTCTCCTAAAGTTCTTCTCTTATAAAACACATAAATTTCTGAGTTTGGATTTCTGTATCCACATTTTAGCGCCGTCAGTGGGGAGGATCTATAGATTTCTCATACTCAAGAGCAGATCCTAAGCCAGCTGAAACCAAAATGGATTCAACTCAATAAACCTCGGGAAACGTCTCACCGA